TCTGTGCCAGGCAGGGGCTAGGAAAAGTTCCATGTGTATCTGTGTGCCAGGTCCCAGAGACCCTCATCAGCTTGGGTTCAGACTACAGGGCCCCTTCTTGGCCTCAGCTTTGGCCACTGTGACTCCAGTGAGGTGAGGCAGTTACTGTCCTTGGGTGTATGACACAGTGGCATTCATTGTCACTGCCAGGAGGCCCCAAGGATCCAGCCCCACTGCCAGACTCACTTTAGAGCCAAGGGGAGGCCCAAAGTCAACTGCTTCATTTCAGTGGTAGGGCTCAGCCCCCAAACCCAGGGCCTCTCGCCCTGCAGAGCTCTTGCCCTGCACCAACCACCCATCTCACAGGACAAGAAAGAACAGATAAAAACCAAACAGGTTGTGTCAGTTTCTCAGCAGACAGACAGCTCCATCAGGGGGTGAGAAGGATATAGGGCTGTCCCTCATCACAGTACTGACCTCTGGGGGAATTATGCAACCCTTGTGCCTTTTTGCTTCTGGGTTTCTTACATGTGGAATGCCTTCCCCATCTAAATCCTTCCCTTCTCACAGAGCAAAGAGTAGGTCCCCGTGCCTTCTTTGACCAGTGAACCAATTGACCGTAACACCTTGCAACTTTCCCTATGAGAGTTCTTGAGTGAGACAGGATGAGCTTATTGAAGGTGACAGGGACTCAAGTTCAGAGTGGGAGAGACAGTGGCTGCATCAAGCTGGGCTTATAGGCCAGGTTTGCAGGGAAAGGAGCTGAAGCTGTTAAAGGGCCTGCACAGGGCAGGGGCAGCTGGAGCAAAAGGAGAGGATTCCAGAGATGGGAAAAGAAATGCAAATGTGTATGGGCAGAGTGGAGGGGAGGTTGAGCATTAAGGTGGCACCAGTTCACCCTATTCCTTGCCAGTCATTGGATAAGGGAAGGGTGATCCTTGGCTATGTCTCACTCAGCAGAAATCAGACTGGCTTCTAGAACAACTGGGAGGCAGGTGGGGATTGAGAGGGAGGTGCAGTCAGTACGCGCCCCAAGGGGCTCTGTCAGCTTTGAGACTGGGATGGTTCACATGGGCCAGGACTTGGGAGGGAAGGAGGATGGACCTTGCCAGCCAAGACTTCTCAGCACTAGAAGACACTATGAAAATACCCCATACCCTAGAGGAAAAGGAAGAAGGAAACATTCATTAAAGACCTTTTATAGAAGTTTTTAATTTGATCCTCCTCTCCCCATTTTACAGGGAAAGTGGAGGACTTGGCTGGCCCAGTCACACAGCCAGGTGGTCTGCAGCCTCCAGAGCTTTTATGACTTCACCACACACCACTACCATCACCACAACCTCCCAGGGGGCACAGATGTTGTAAGCTGAGGTGGGTTTGTCCAGAGAAGCCCCTCCCAGAACAGGATCTCCCCCCACCCCAAGAAAAGTAATCCCAGAGCCCCCCAAAGTGCCACAGAAACCAACACCTGCTAGCCTGTGCATTGTGTGCCTCTGGCCCCTCCCCTCAGAGGCCGTGTGGCCCAGCAGGAGGGTCCTCAGAGCAGCACAGCACTTCAGTGTGCACATGTCCACAGCTTGAACTTGTGTGTGGGAGGACCTGAGTTAAGGGAACATCTTAGGGCCTGACCTCAGTCAGTATTGGTTCCAGAGAAACAATTCAAAGTTCACGGGAGTAAGCAAGGGGTGATCTTGACTGATGTCAGATTGAACCCCCTAGGGGAGGAGGGGGTCAGTAGCTGCAATCAGTCCCACCCTGAGAAAGCTCCCGGGCTCCTGAGCAGTGCTGGGTGTAAAAAGGCCTGAAAGCCCTGGGCTGGGGTAGTAATGGAAGCAGTAACAGAAGAGCAACCTTTTTCTACCTGACTTGAGTTTTCTCACTCCTACTGAGGAGACCCTGGCTCCCTGGCAAGTTGGAGACAACCACTGCCCAAGTGGTGGCTTTAGAATCCAGACACAACTCACTGCCACCCTTGACTATGCCTCCTCTCCAGAATCAGGGTTTGAGGGAAAATAATTGTCAGGATTAGGGAGAGGCCTTAGTTGGTTCTCAGAAGTAATCATTCAGACCCATCTTCAAAAATGAAAGTCCTCTTGTCCCCACTTATAGTACTCAACCAAAATTAGGTGGCTCCCCCAAGGTCACACCCCTGGGAAGGAGTAGGGAGGAATGGGGCTTCTCAAGAAGGTTGGATAGGACCAGGATACAGACTGTAGATGAAGTCACATGGCCCCACAGGCACTATCCTAGTATGGCCTAAGGAAACTACCTGAGACAGAACTGCAAACATGTGAGCTGGGAGTCCAACGGTGAGTGCGTAGAAAAGGCTCAGAGGTAACACAGCTCCCTTCTCCAGAGCTTTAAGACTGATCAAATCCAATCTGACCTTAAGGCAAACTGCTTCCTCCCCTACAGGACTGAAAATCCCTGAGTGCTCAGTGCAGGCCTGGCTCAAAGCCCACATTCAGCAAGGCCATACAGCGAGTCAGTGGCAGAAACTGCAGCCCAGGCTTAGGTTCCTCCTCAAACTTCTTCCCGTCTTACCATTTGCTGTCCCTGGTTCAGCTGGTCAGGAACTGGCAATTTCCCTTCTCAATAAATGGAATCGTGCAGTGGCTCTACAAAACCTTTTCATTCCATAGGTAAGCTGCCACCCAGCAGTGACATACTCCAATCAACCACTCGGACTTTATAAAATAAATTCCCAGCATAAAATATAAATGAAGGTATAAAGAAAACAAGATTGGCTATATGGTAGAATTGTTGAAGCTGAATACATAATTCATTCCATTTTCACTCTTTTTGTGAAGTTTTCCTTGAAAGTGTTTTTAAAATGTCTGAAGTTTCGCCCAAATTAACTAAAAGACAACATAAATTTCTATAGTGAAGCCTTAAAAAATACTTTCCTCTAACTTTTAGAAATTTCAAATGAAATTTTGGGGGGTTTCAGACCAGAGACAAGGCCAGGAAAAACTTGAAGGTCAAGCTTTGATACCCGAGGCAACAGAAATGTCTCCTGGAAGCAAGGAAATGAGAACTGTGGTTAAAAAGACTAAGTCAGGGGTCCTCTGGATGCTGGGGAATAACTGGGTCCAGGAATCAATGGGAAAGCGGCACTCAGGACTAGATACTATACTCATTAGCACCCCCACCAAGAGCACAAAGAAATTCACCAGAATTGTTTTTTCTTTATAAACACAAGTACATAATGTTTATTTGAAATTCCAATTTATTACAAGTTTACCCCTCAATGGGGCCCTTCTTCCTTAAAGACAATTAAAAAACAACAAACAATTTAGGTGTCACTGAAGTGGGAACACAGGATTCTTACTGTTAACAAGATCAGACTGGCTCTAGGGTAAGACGCAGGAGGTGTTTGTTGGAGGCTAGGATTATGAAATTGTAATGTCAGTGCTAACTCCACGCCTGTGAGAAAGGGGACCTATCTGCCAGCCGCTGGAGCAAATCCCCAAAGTCCTTGAACAGAGAGGATAGGGGAGAGACAGGGACCACACCTTGAAGTTTAATACTAAGAGGTTTTATTCTCAAGTTCTGTAAGTTGCAACCCCCTTGGTGGAATTCTTTTCCCTTAATTTAAATAGTTACAGAAGAATGTAGGTGCTCAAAATTTCCAAATTCAAAGTTGATAGAAAAAAAAAAATTAAACCCTGTTTTGCATTTTTATCAAAATCTTCCATAAAAGGGAAAAGAAGACTACAAAGTTTTGCCTAAATATAACTACCAGCGCTAGAGTCATTGTGGGAAGGGGCTGTCTAGCTTCTCCTCCCATCCCTCCCCTCCCACTTCCCACTGACACTGACCACTGACCACTGACAGATTCAGGTTCTCAGGTAGTAAGTCTGAGGCCAGAAAAGGCATGAGAGGAGGGGGGATGAAAATGGAAATGGAGGTGGGGGAAACAGCCACAGGGGCAGGCAGGGGGATGTCCCCTCCCCTACCAGGTCACACTGATTGCTGTGATGAACCTCCAACCCACTTCTCTGAAGGAGAGAGGATGGGCTGAGGGAGGAGATGGGGCAAAGGAAAGCAAACACATTATCATATAAATTGTACTGTACATGTGCCAAAGCAAGATGACAGAAATATTTTACAAGATGTTCTTTATACAATATCACTGCTGAAACAAGCAACTTTTAATAACTAGAAAAGTCAATTAAAAAAATTAAACATTTCAATCCTTCCTGCTTTTCTTCTGCTCCCCTAAGAGCTTGTCTGGTATGTGGGTGGGCTGGGCTCCAACACCCCTCTGGCCAGATCCATCAAAGTAAAGATTATATGCATGATTATAAGCAGGACTCCAGTCTCTAAGTGAAGTGCCTTAGTTTGTTTTGTTTGTTTCTGAGGGGGTGAGATGGGAGTGGGGAGAGAGCTGTCACAAAGAAGGGGAAGGGTATTCAGGAATGGCTCAGGGACATGTCCCTTTACTCTGCCAAAATCAACTCAAAAGAGCACAACTGTTTCATGATGCTGGTGAATACAGAATTCTGTATGGCACTCACTAATACCATCACCTGAGAAGGAGAGGGAGGAAGAGACAGAGTATAGTTTTAAAGAAAAAGGGCTGTATATAAATATAGATTTTAAAAAATCAATACCACCTCCCTAACTGGCCTGATTACACTTGATCCTTCTATGTAATACAGTAATCTCACCCCTGAAGAACAGAGGGCTTGGCACTATTGTGATGGCCAAAGTGGAAGGAAACTTAGGAAAGAAGAAAGGAAAAGGAATTGGGCTCATACCCTTGGGCTCTTCCTGGAACTCTCAGAAAGGGGAGGTTAAGACCATCTACCACCAATATTTCTAGGCAGAGACCACCAACCCAGTATTTTGCTCTCCAAAGAGCTCTGCTTGATTAAGGCCCTATGAAGAGTTTTAGAAAGACAGCACAAGCTTGGGACAGGCATTTCTGGACTCCCTGTGATGTCCTCCCTTCCAAGTTCTTCTCCATCTCCCTCTCTTGCCTCCCTCCCACCCTTCCCTTGCTCTCACCTTGATTTTCCCAACCTCAGCTCCCTCTCCCTTACCAGGGCCCCACCTCTCTATTTCTTCTGTCTTCGTCCCCTAGACTGTCCAATGGTCTCTGGCTCACTGTCCCCTTCATCTTCAGCAAGCTGATCAGGAAACTTCTTGCGTTTCCTACGAACATATGGGTGGCCAGGAAGGTGTTTATGCAACAGAGCCACTAGACACTGTTCTGTCTTCACCATGCAGTTTAGCACATGGCTGCCTCGGCAGTTGTAAAGCTCAGCATTGGTAAACACTTGCTTCATGTCAGTAAGAAACTCTTGCACAGAGCGGTAGCTCCCACAGGAACATTTGTTCTGCATTGTCTGGAAATCCATGGGGTGGCTGATCACATCATAGTAGTCCTCAGCCTCATCTCTGGTCACAGGCTCCCTGTGGAGAAGAACCAAATGGAGATACCAGCACAGCCTTGAATACAACTCACAGATTTTGCGTTAAACAATCAGCCACAGAAGACCCACCCCGGCTGAGATCAGCCAACTGGCAGGCACAGAGAAGGTGTGTTCACCTTGTACTAAGAGCTACCAGTTTGGAACCCTAATCCCTGCCACTGAGACATGTCTTGAAAAGAAGGGATCAAGTTAGTTCCTAGGGGTTCAAATGAGCACTCCCTCAGGCAGCTGTTAGGTTCATCCTACTCCTCTGTGCTTGAGAATACAAAGCTCACCTGAAAGGCCAGCTGGAGCGGTACTTCACAATCTTGTTGAGGATCTCTTCACACTTCTGCAATTCCAGGCTTTGCCTCCGGGAGCTCCGCTTGGTCTGAAGCACCTGGTGCCCAAGGAAGAAGACATATTATTACAGGTCCAAGAAAAGAGTGGACAAAACAGAAAATGTGTACATCTGTTTTAAAAAGAGAGAAAGAAAGAATTCAACTACTTTCTTGGAGGAGACACAGTTAAAATCATCTGACATTCAAGTCAAAAAGCCCTCTCAGCTAGGCTATGGATAGGCATCTTACCATCAGCCTACTTGCCTCCTCGCTGCAGTTGCCATATTATAGCAGTCCTGCTGGAGGTTGGCTAGTGAGGGCCACTGTCAACAGACACTAGCTCAATGAAAGAAGATAGACCTGGGATTATGGTAAAACTGTGGGTGTATATAAGCAAGCAACTGCAGAAAGTGACAGGTTATGGGGACCACTGGCAGGCAATTTTGGGGTTAGGGAGTCTCAGGAAAGAAAAGCAAGAGGTACAATTCCTTTCCTATGCTCTCCTGCTGAAGGCATGTGGAAGCTAAGTGACTAAGGAGAAAAGAGTTGAGGCCTCCTTTCCGGGTAGCCATTAACAGGCTATGACTCAAAGCAGAAGGAGCCACAGAACTGAAAGGGTTAGGGCTGGGCAAGTAGAAGGATCTCTCAATGCTCTCTGAGCTCCCTAAATGGGTTGCTATATGCCCCTAGTCCACCCCAACTCCAATTTGATCTGTCAAAACAAGCAAGTTTTCAAGGGCCTCTTTTTGCTCTTTAAAGCTCAAGTGAAATCTAAAGACCACTAAAATCAGTGGAGGAGCACAGTGGAGGGTATGTTCCTCCCATAACAACTGTCAGCAAAAGATCCGAGAGTAAGTGAGGCTCCAACATTGCTGACATTCCCACAATGGAGACCCAGCCCCTCTGAGCCACTGGAAACACATGGATACTATTTTAAAATCCTTAACAAGTCGCAGGCTGTCTGTTAACTAAAGGAGACAATGTTTGCAGGCTACAGCAGGGGAATGCCAGACATAGCTGTTCCTGGAGGGCCTGCTGCCTTGTCTGACTATAGGCCCACCCATCAGCCTCCCAAGTTAGGGAGGAGGGAGGAGAGAGGAGAGAGGCTCCACCTGTTGCCTGATGAATTCCTAATACTGGAGTGGGGGATAAGAAGCAGAACCATTAGAGGTAAGATGTTAAATAATTCTTACCAGCTCATCAACCTCAGTGTCATCCACAGGTGGTGCCTTTGGCCGAGACCTCCTGGTGGTAGAATGTGGCTTCTTACCCGGTCGTCGGCCTGGCCTTGCCACAGGGGGGATGACACCCTGCTTGCCCCGGCCAGTCTTTCGAGGTCTCACTGAAATAAAAAATAGAGATTGAGAGAATAATTGGGATGAAGGAAGCATGTTACAGAATGGGGAGATAATCTGGATAAGCAAAGCAATGGCTTCCTTAGGTTACAGGGTGCTCCTTGCTATATGTCTCTTGCCCGACCTAACAGGACATTTTAAAGGTAGCAGTAGTAGATAAAGAATAGATACCTTTCTTTCATCAACTGCCAAAGACCTTTTAAGCCTCCTCAGAAGGTCAGTTCCTTCAGTGTTTCTATCCTCTGGCCCCACCCTGTTCAGTTACTCCTGGGAATGAGGCTCTTGAAGGAGTCAATTGTAAACTGACTCACTCAGAAGGAGAAGCCATTTGCTACAGGTCTGCCTGGAATTCCTACAGCCCACACTCAGCCTGAAAGAGTGTAATGTTACATGTGAGATGAAATTTGACTGTAGAATAGATCCCGTTTTATAATTCTCAGAGTTATCCTAAACTTACCATCACAATCTTCTTAGAGAAAAGCTGATAGTTATGTGAAGTCTTTCTCACTGAATACAATTTCAGGGCTAGCACCAGTCCTGCTTTCTTGCATTTCTGAAAACTATACCGTTGGCTAGGCCACTTCCGTAAAAACCCTGCCCAGGCCCTGGCCCGTTTGGCTCAGGGGTTAGAATGTTGGCCCGCAGATAAGAGAGACCAGGTTCGGTTCCCACTAAGGGCACATACCCCAGTTGTAGTTTGTCCCCGGCCCCGGTTGGGGTTGGGTGGGTGGCAACCAGTCGATGTGTCTCTCTCACATCGATGTTTCTCTCTCTCTTCCTCCCCCTCTATCTGAAGATCAATGCAAAAATGTCTGCCCTGGCCAGTTTGGCTCAGCGGTTAGAGCGTCGGCCTGCGGTCCTGAGAGACCCGGGTTCGGTTCCCGCTAAGGGCACGTACCTCGGTTGCAGTTTGTCCCCGGCCCTGGTCGGTTGTGCAGGTGGCAGCCACTCGATGTGTTCCTTTCACATTGATGTTTCTCTCTCTCTCTCTCTGTTCCTCTCTCTCCCTTCCCTCCCACTCTACCTGAACAAAGGTTGGAAAAATATCCTCGGGTGAGGATTAAAAAAAAAAAATGTCGCCCTGGCCGGTTTGGCTCAGCGGTTAGAGCGTCGGCCTGTGGTCCTGAGAGACACGGGTTCGGTTCCCGCTAAGGGTACGTACCTCGGTTGCAGTTTGTCCCCGGCCCTGGTCGGTTGTGCGGGTGGCAACCACTCGATGTGTCCCTTCATATCTATGTTTCTCTCTCTCTGTTCCTCTCTCTCCCTCCCACTCTACCTGAACAAAAAATGGAAAAATGTCCTCGGGTGAGGATAGAAAAAAAAAAGTCCTTGGGTGAGGATTAAAAAAAAAAGGATCCCTGCCCAGGATCCTCAAAGACAGAATAAAGAAAACAAAGGCATCCAAGACTACTTGTGTCTCGGGTTTACAACAGGTGCTCAATGTCATACAAACCAACATTCCAGAATATCTCCTCAGGGAGCAATGCTCCACAAGGATTAGCTCAAGTTTTCTCTACTAAACAAATTTTCCCTGGAAAGTGGGAAGGTGACAATTGAACAGAGATAGGGGCATACAAAGGCAGTGATATAATGAATTAACAAACAATGTTTTACATTCTACTTCTGGACCATGATAATCCTTTGGTGGCTATTTCAGGGTCTCAAGCTCAAGACCCAGCTAGGAATAGAGTATGAAGCTGATACCAAGGATAAAATTTGGGATGCTAGGGACAGACACCAAATCAAGGACTTGAGGTAAACTAGAAAATCACATCTTTGGTGTCCTAAAAGGCAGAGCAGACAAAAAGCTCTGAAGTACCAAATACTTCCTAAATCTTTTTGGTAGAAAAAGCCCTCGAAACCTGGAAAGGAAACAATTCCTTGGAAAGAAAAGCAATCACTAGTTTGAAATAAAATCAGTCTGGTCGGTGTGACTCAGTGGTTGAGCGCTGACCCATGCACCAACAGGTCACTGGTTCGATTCCCAGTCAGGGCACATGCCCAGGTTGTGGGCCTAATCCCCAGTGGGGGGCATGCGGGAGACGGCCAATCGATGTCCTCTCTCATCAATGTTTCTATCTTTCTCTCCCTCACTTCCTCTCTCTCTAAAATCAACAAGAAAAAAATAAACTAAAAAAAAAAAAACAAAGAAAATCAATACACTGCTTTATTCAGAATCTGTTCCCACACAAATGTGCACCTGAATCACAACTCTCAGCCAGTAGATGCTGGTCTCTTTGTAATGCAAGGTTAACGGACTGCTTTCCCCTCACCCTGGATACCTGGAAAAGCATGCCTAGCGAACAAAAGGAGCCCAATAGGAATGGGTGAAATTGTGGTGTCCCAAACTAAAAGTCTACAGGATTGGGAGATAAGTACAAGTCCAAAGCTCTCAAGTTTGGCAGCACTACTGCAGTAAAAGACTCGTCATGCCAAACATCCTCTCTCTCTTTATACTAAGTCCAATCATTCACAGTGCTATGATCTTGGGAACTAAACCATCTCTTCAAGAACTATTCAAAATCTTGATCTGTGGTCTCTTTTCTACTAACCTACAAAGAAGGGTATGTTTTGGAAAGAGGGAGGGGCTAAGGGATAAACTGCAGAACTTCAGGTTTAACTGTGACAATGACAAGACACTCAAAGACTTACATAAAATAAGCATGAGAGAATAAGAATCACTGAGGTAAGCATAAATGATGAGGCCTTTTTCTTCCCCTACTGGCACCTAATGTGAAACAGACCTGAACCTTCCTAACAACTTCACGCCTAAGCCATGAAAATCAATCTTCCTTTTTCAAACTAGCAAAGCTATAGCCCTGCACACTATAGGTAAGAGAAAATCACTGCAACCAGGGGAAAAATAACTTCTGTGAAAGCCCAACTATACCAGAGGGAAAAATAACTATTTAGGAGATGGCAATGGAACTAGATCCTCTTTACCCACTGTCCCCAGACACTGAGGGGTTCAGAACCAGAAGACTTGTCATAAACATATTTGGGGCCCTGAATTCCAATAAATCTTGAATCAAGTGCATCTGCCATAAAATGATGTTCTTGAGAACAAGCTATTCAACCTCCTAATAGAAAGGCAGTTAAATGCAACTTGAAAACCCATTTAAAACTATGGCAGTGAAGCCCTGGCCAGTTTGGCTCAGCAGTTGGGAGTGTCAGCCTGTAGACCAAAGAGTTGCAGGTTTGATTCCCAGTCAAAGGCATGTACCTCAGTTGTGGGTTTGATCCCCAGCTCCGGTCAGTGTTGTGCAGGAGGCAACCAATCGATGTGTCTCTCTCACACTGATGTTTCTTTCTCCCCCACCCCCCCTTACTCTGTCTGGAAAAAAAAAAAATCAATGGAAGAACATCCTCAGGTGAGGATTAAAACAAAACAAAAACCGCCCTGGCCGGTTTGGCTCAGCAGTTAGAGCGTCGGCCTGCGGTCCTGAGAGACCCGGGTTCGGTTCCCGCTAAGGGCGCGTACCTCGGTTGCAGTTTGTCCCCGGCCCTGGTCGGTTGTGCGGGTGGCAGCCACTCGATGTGTTCCTTTCACATCGATGTTTCTCTCTCTCTCTCTGTTCCTCTCTCTCCCTCCCACTCTACCTGAACAAAAAATGAAAAAATGTCCTCGGGTGAGGGAAAAAAAACCCAAAAACCTATGGCAGTAAAGTCACCCCAACAGCCACAACATGTGAGAAAAGAAAGATGGCACGATAGCACTGATTTTCTACTGCCAGCCAACCCAGTCTTTCCAAGTCAGCTTAAAAGACGATGAGGTTAACTACAAAGGCAAACTGAATACTCACATCGCAAACCAGCCACCTCATAATCTTCTTCCTCCTCCTCCTCTTCTTCCTCTTCTTCTTCTTCATTGCTCTCATCATCTTCACTGTCCTCAGAGGCAGACTCTTCAGTATAATTCCTGTGAGGTGAAAAAAACATGTAGGGAACATGGTTCTAGGCCAAAGTGTTCCTAGGGGGATAAAGTCCCATAGGCATCCCAGCAACTTTTTCCTCTTCACACATTAGACAGATTTGATGATGAGGGGAGGGAAACTGAATCCAGGCCAGGACACAGGAAACAGAATGAAAACCTAAGCTTCAACAGCATGCCTCCTCTACCAAGCCCCAAATGCTTTGGATAAGACATCAATGACAACAGAAATCAAGACCAAAATGTAACCCCCACCCCCTCTCCACCAAAACAATACAAAATTCTATTCCTTTTATCTCACAAAAACAGTCAGATAAAGTAACATTTAAGGTATTAAAACGTGTCCCCAACTCTGGGGTGGACTGAAAGAATAAAAGCCCAGACAGGTGTTACTCCACCTTGATGGCCCCTTTCCAGGAGCTGAAACAGCTTGCAGATGACCATAACATCAAAGCAATGGTAATCCCAGCTCAGAACAGCTGGTCCAAAGCCCCACCATTTCAGAATAGCATGCCTCATCTCTCTAAGTGTAGCTGGAATGGAGTGAGAAATAACCGAGTAATACTGTTAGGTGGGGTCAGGATCAAACAGTTCTGCCCTTTCAAAGAGAGACCAAGCCAGAGTGCCTATAAGCTGCCCTTTTACAACCTCAAATTTCAACGTGGAAAACAACAGTATTAACTTGGCAAATATTAGGTGCCTCTTTTTTACAAAGCCTATGTCTGGCCTTATTGGGATTAGGGTGAAGAACAAAGTACCACCCCTACTCTAACAATCTCATGAGAAGACAGTCAAATGCACCAAAATAATGTTTTAGAGACTGAACACTCAGTTGAAACACAAAGAGGAACAATTAATTCCAAAAATATAAGGACATTTCAAAAAAGCATGAAATTTTTGGTAGTTTACACCCAGTAAAATGAGGGAATTCTGGGAAGAGAGAATATTCCCAGCTGGTGGAAAAGCATAAGAGGCAAGGATACACAATGAACAGTCTGTAATAAGCACACAAATATGGGAACAAGGGCTCATAAAAACATATGCCAGTACTGTACAATAAGAGTCTCAAAAGTTAGGATAGGGAGTTTGAACTTTATTAAAGAGAAAATATAAAGGTTGATATTTTTAAATAGTAAAGTGACACAAGCAGATTTTTGCCTTTTGTACCATTCTGATATCATCACAAAAGACGGAAGGATAAGAGGGTGAAAGATATGAGGTAAGGAGTTGAGAAGCCACTGAAGGAGCCCAGGTGAGAGATGTATGAGGGCCAGTGACAACAGGGACTTTGGATAATGGACAGCAGATTGATTCACAAGACAGCTAGCAAATGAATGACTAAGGAAGACAAGGGAGAAGATGTCCAAGTTGACACCCAAATTCTAATCATGGTAAGGAAGGAAAGTAATAAGTCTGGGTAAGGAAGGTAATGAGTTTCAGAATTTGGTGGCTGCAGGCGTAATCACCAATTAAGAATTGGGCAAAGTAGAAGCAAAGGGACAGAGGGAGATATACTATAAAGAAGACAGAACAATAGCTGATAGTTGAAACTAGAAATACCAACATTAAGCTAAAATTAAATCAGAGCCCTTTGAGCTCTTATTATAGTACCTTAAATAATCAGGCTCTATTTCCAATAGATGAACTTAAAGCTCCTTAAAATCATTCCATTTGAACAACTGAAGTCTAATTAAAACAGCTATTTATTCATTTGTTTTTAGAAGAAGAATTCTCACCTGCCACGGGAGTTGCGCCTGGCAGTAGCAGGCTGGCAAGCTGGGCACTGCCACTCACCATCTGGTACTTCATAGAGGGCCGGCCTCAGACAAAACAGGTGGAAGGCTTTATTACACTCATCACACAAGATCAGTTTGTCATCCTCACCTGCAAGGAGATAAACTTGTATAGCATTGTCAGGAATATGGCAACAGTCAAGGAGTTATAAGAAGGAGCCGCTCACCCTCAACTAACATCATAAAAAAATAAACATTCTAGTACAGTGCTACCACATATTTTACAAACTGCAGTCACTTTCTGAAAAGAAATGTAGCACAAATTAGTCTATAGGTAATTTAGGGCTTAGGTCTTCTGATTTATATCCCAAAATCTACACAGGGCTAGGATAGGACAGTTAACATTTACTAAGAGACAGCAAAAACCAAGTGTCAGGAGGAAATTTTGCTGTTACTTTTCCACTAAGAAATGAATCCCCATGAAGTATTACATTTTCTGCCCTTCCTCCTTCTGGACCCCTTCTAAACACTTCCCAACTCGTATCTGGTATGGTCCTCTTGAGACACTCAGTTTCTTTACATCTGAAAATACACTGAACCAACTTAACATGGTCATTTCCCCTCCCCAATCTTCATTCTATATCAGTTTTCAGAGCAACTGAATGATTTTACACAGGTCTTTTCATACTTGTAAATCAAATTCTAGTCAAATTCACGAAACAACTTTAGCTACTGAAAAGTAAATCACTGGGGGAGGCTCTCAGCCATGAAGTTCCTTTTACACATGTGGACTCTGAAAGCTCTCATCATTAAACAGTTTTCCCAAATGCCTTGCTCTGTAAAATTCAGTGCTGGAAAACCCAAACCTGAGTATTCATCACAATGTACAAGTACTGCCCTCTGATGGTGATGGTAGCACCAGTCCTACTTCACGAATGACTAAAATTCAGAGATAATAAAATTATCTAATTATTAACTGATTTTGTTCCCTGTATAAAATTTAAAGAATGAAAAGATCAACTGCTCTTATTTTATACTCAAAATTGAGGAACAACAAGCCTGCTTTGAGATTTTTAAACTGTGATTTCGGGCTGATATTTTATAGAATTCCAGGAGGTAAAATCTGTCCCACCACATTTAAAAGCTGTATACACACAACTCTTTAGGGGAGAAAAGATCTGGGTAATGAAGATCATAGTTCCTAAAACACTCAAATAAGCAACATTGACCTAAATATACCTTTCTTTCGACAAACTTTGCATCTAGCATTTTCTGCTGACATATCCCACTTGATACAGGCATCAAGCATCCCAAGTAGAACATGCATTCTGGAAAAGGTCTGAGCTTCACGGATTGCTGTCTTCCATTTTTCTAGAGCAGATGCAACCTAAACAGAGACCAAATCAGGGCAGTATTACCACGTTACCTCAAAGACATGGATTTTTCACATAATAACGATAGACTGTACATTGAAAGAGGACTAGAAATAGGTAAAGATACCAGAGAATTCTGAGTACATTTTACCTCCTGGAGTTCTTCCTAACACATTTATCTTATAGAAGAAATCAAGGTTCTAAGGAGGTAAAAAAAAAACAAAAAAACACCTCATCAAAGGTCACACAAAGAATTAAGGGAAGGAAATAACTAGAGACACATCTCTTCTAGTGAAAACTACTCAAAGATTTAGAGTCATTTAAATCGTTAAATCCAGGAACACGTGCCCTGGCCGATTTTGCTCAGCGGTTGGAGCGTTGGCCTGCGGTCTAGAGAGACCTGGGTTCGGTTCCTGCTAAGGGCATGCACCTCGGTTGCAGTTTGTTCCCGGCCCTGGTTGGGTCGTGCGGGTGGCAACCACTCGATGTGTCCCTTTCACGTCGATGTCTCTCTCTCTCTCTCCCCCTCCCCCTCCATCTGAACAAAATACCAAAAAATAAAAATAAAAATAAAAAATAAAAGCAGGAACACTTGCCCTGGCCAGTTTAGCTCAGCGGTTAGAGCGTCAGCCTGCAGTCCAGAGAGACCCGGGTTCAGTTCCCACTAAGGGTACGTACCTCGGTTGCGGTTTGTCCCCGGCCCCGGTTGGGGTTGTGCAGGAGGCAGCCACTCAATGTGTTCCTTTCACGTCAATGTTTCTCTGTCTCTCTTCCTCTCTTTCCCTCCCACTCTGTCTGAGCAAAAATGGAAAAATATCCTCAGGTGAGGATTAAAAAAAAAAAAAAAGGTAGGAACACTTGCCCGGCTGGTGTGGCTCAGTGCGGTTGAGCATCAACCCATGCACCAAGAGGTCGCTGGTTTGATTCTCTGTCAGTGCACATGCCCAGGCTGTGGGCCAAATCCCCAGTGGGGGACATGCAGGAGGCAGCCAATCGATGTTCTCTCTCATCGATCTTTCTCTCTCTCTCCCTCTTCCTTCCACTCTCTCTAAAAAAAATAAATAAATAAAAAGCAGGAACACTTGTATTATATAAATGCTAGTATGCAATAATGTCACATAGGCAATAAAACTTTAGTTAACAAGATTATCAGTTTCTGCACTAATATGAGCCACAATCCTAAATAGTATTTATAAAACATTCTTAAATTAGTGGAACAACAAATCGATGTCTCTCTCTCTCCCCACCCCATCCTCTCTTAAATAAATAAATACATAAAATAAAATAAATGTATGATATACTGACAGAAAATATTCCTTTTGACTTTATCACCAACTTCTAAGTTAAGTGAAGATTTGAAAGTCCTGGAAGTTAGCCTGACTTCATTCTGGGCAGTTAATCTCTACATAACCTGCATTGCCTCCTCTCATGATCATAAAATGCAAATTAATAGAGAATCAGCCAAGCAAAATATAGAATGGTGAAAACATAACCAGAAATTTTGATGATAAACACAACTCTCTCTCCTATCCATTCCATACATTCTAAGGAGGAACAGAAATGCCATTTTAGGATAATTCATGTACTTGTACGTATTATTGTTTTATTAATTAAAAGGCAAGATATTCTCTGATGTCTTAAAGCACTTCTTGCCTAAATAATTAGGTGAGAATCCACATTTTAAAAAACTAATGTGGGGGGTAGCATTCTCAGAGAGTCAGAAAATACAACAGAGATGGACAAAGTAAAGCTTAGGCAATTCACCAGAAGCTGAGCAAGTAGATTATCTTAGAATCATCAACCTTGTGGAGGTCACATTGCTTAACTCAGTCATGACTGAATTAAAGTGGGTTAGCAATAACTGCTACTTTTACAATTTGGGCTCACTCTAGCTAACTGACTGGATTTCACAGCCCTGTCCTAGGCAAAGAGGTCTATTCTAAGGAATATAGTTCTTCCTCCTATAGAAAAGGTCAGTTATCCTGGAAGGCCATAGGCTTTAAAATAGAGCTGCAAAGGGACAAAGATAGTTGAGCCACTTCTGAAGCTGTGGTGTGATGGGGAGAACATAATACTGTCCCTTCCCTTTCCCACAGAAATAGAAAACCACAGAGCACTTCACAGGTATAAATTTATGAATAGCAAGAATCATTTAAAGACACACAAAAAATTTATTTAAGAGGCTGCTAAAGTTCTAGTGGAAATTGACTCATTCCTTATTCCAACCTCCAACTGCAGGGATTTCAACTTCTGCCTTTGCAATATAGCACAATTTCCTTCCTTCCCTCTTCAGAACTCCTCAATAAAACATGAGGTCCATTATGACAGCTGCTGGTTTTCTCCCCTAGCAACAACCCAAATATCTTTAATGGAATATAAATTTAAGAATTTTAGGTTCAGTTCTTTAAAAGATTGCTATTGAGAACAGGCAGAAAATGGCTCAAATGGGCTTTGCTGTCCCCTAGTGGATAGTCAGATGCATACAAGTATTCAAGAAAAAGCATACAGTATTGCTTTTTACTTGTTATTGCCTATAAATTGTAAATTTGAGTACTTAATAGCTCATGTGGCCTCATTATAATAAAAAACTTGAAAAGATCTTAGAAGTAGGCTTATTTAACCTCATTTTATTTTTTTATTTTTTGAAAATTTTTTTGTTTCCTTTATTGATTTGAGAGAGAGGAAGGGAGAGGGAGAGAAAGACAGAAACATAGATGAGAGAGAACATCGACTGGCTGCCGCATGCACATCCCACACTGGATATCGGACCCACAACCTGGGCTTGTGTCCTGACCGGGAATTGAACCGGCGACCTCTTTATCCATGGGTCGATGCTCAACCTCTGAGCCACACTGGCTGGACAAGACTCCTCTTTTATTTTTCCTCACCCGAGGACATTTTTCCATCTTTTTATTCAGGTAGAGTGGGAGGGAGAGAGAGGAACAGAGAGAGAGAAAGAGAAACATCGACGTGAAAGGGACACATCGAGTGGCTGCAACCCGCATGACCAACCAGGGCCGGGGACAAACTGCAACCGGGCTGTGTGCCCTTAGCAGGAACCGAACCTGGGTCTCTCTGGATCACAGGCTGATGCTCCAACCACTGAGCCAAACCAGCCAGGGCTATTTGACCTCATTTTAAAAACACTGAAATAAAATTTGCACATTACAAGTTCATCTTGTAAAGTGAACTACTATCAACAGTTTTTTGTTTTCTTGTTTTTTGTTTTTATCCTCACCCGAGGACATTTTCCCATTTTTTGTTGAGGTAGAGTGGGGGGGGAGAGAGAGGAACAGAGAGAGAGAGAGAAACATCGACGTGAAAGGGACACATCGAGTGGCCGCCACCCGCACAACCGACCAGGGCTGGGGACAAACTGCAACCGAGGTACGCGCCCTTAGCAGGAACCGAACCCGGGTCTCTCAGGACCGCAGGCTGACGCTCTAATCGCTAAGCCAAACCGGCCAGGGCAGCAGTTTTTAATGTATTTACAGAGTTGTGCAACCATCAACATAATCTTAATTTTAGAATACTTTCATCACCCCAAAAAGAAACCTTGTACCCATTAGGAGTCATTCCCCAATCCCTACATTAACCCAGCAACCATTAATCTACTTTTGGTCTATAGATTTGTCTATTCTGGACATTTTTATATAACATGTGGCCTTCTGTGGCTGGTTTCTTTTACTGAACATGTTTTCTAGGTTCATCCACATCGTAGCATGTATTGGTACTTCATTCCATTTTAATTGCTGAATATATCCACTGTATGGATATATCACACTTTGTTTATCCACTAATCAGTTGATGAACATTTGGGTTGTTTCCATTTTTTGGCTATTCTGAATAATGTTGCCCTGAACTGTTTGTGCACATCTGGATAATGTTTGATTATTATTTTTCATGGAAAGCAAGCTTACCCAAGGTCTCACAGCAATTTAGAGCCAATTTATCCCAATCCAATGCTATAATTGGCATTATACATACTAACCATCAATGTCTTATTATATCCACTGCATTACCATTTAGACCAGTCTAGACTCCAACCACCCTCAAATTTTGAGGGCAAAAACATTAGGCACTCGCCCTGGCCGGTTTGGCTCAGCGGTTAGAGCATCGGCCTGCGGTCTGGAGAGACCCAGGTTCGGTTCCCGCTAAGGGCACGTACTTCGGTTGCAGTTTGTCCCCGGCCCTGGTTGGTTGTGCGGGTGGCGGCCACTCGATGTGTCTCTTTCACGTCGATGTTTCTCTCTCTCTCTCTCTCCCTCCCACTCTATCTGTACAAAAAAATGGAAAAATGTCCTCGGGTGAGGAAAATAAATAAATAAAAACATTAGGCACTCAAGAAAGAACATCCTGGTCTTCTCCCACTGCACAAAATTCCAAACAGTCCAGCACATAAAAGAAAAACAAAAACCCCTATCATAGTCAAAACAGTGTTTTTAAAAACAGATCAACAGTAGCAAAATAAAAGTTTTGACATTCAACACTGGTGGTACCCAGGAAATACTCTCTGATGAAAATTTCAGATTCTCTAGCACATTTAAATAAAGTTGGTCCTTATTTAGAAGTGAGTATAACAGAACCAAGGGGAAACCAGCTTACATGCGAGCCCCTCTGCCTAAGAAAGTAATATATCTTGGCAAAAATATGAGGCTTCAGATTCCACAAAGAATGTATAAAATGGAAAAAACAGATAATCAGGTTGCCAGGACAAATGGATCCAAAGTAAAAAGACAGCCTAATAGAACTCAGGATTTTGCCAAATAATACCTCGTCTTTCCTATTTAATACAAGAAAATGAAATAAACATTAAATATTCAAAATCAATGACTATTACAAAAAGAGATTTGAGAATCTACTTTCATACATTTCCTTCCTTCCTTCCTTCCTTCCTTCCTTCCTTCCTTCCTTCCTTCCTTCCTTCCTTCCTTCCTTCCTTCCCTCCCTCCCTCCCTCCCTCCCTCCCTCCCTCCCTCCCTCCCTCCCTCCCTCCCTCCCTCCCTCCCTCCCT